AAGTAGATCAGTATATTTAATAACAATACTAGTGAGCTATAACAATACCAATACAATAACAATACTAGTGAGAAATGCAAAATTAAATTTAGTGAGAAAATTAATTCTTGATAAAATTATCTTCATAAAATTTTCTTGATAAAATACTTGATTTTGCTAAAATAAAAGAAGAATTAGCAATGTTGTTGAACTTGTCTTCGAATCGTCAGTCACTTTCCCAACATCGTAACGTAATTTCTCTGTATCTTTTCAATAATAATAATAATAATAATAATAATAATAATAACAATAATAATAAATTAATGGTAATTCTGTTGAAGTTTCCTCTATGGTACCTAGATTTTATGAATTTAAACTCATTACTAGATTGGCGATATGATCTCTCATCATTTTGCAGTTAAATTGGTTAGATGTAACTATAAAGTCTATGATATTCTCGCACTTCACGCTTGTGGAACTTTTCTTTAGCTTCATGCTCTCCAGTGAATTTTGTTCTTCAAAAATTTAAATGTAATTACAAAATTTATCTTCTGTCTTCTTAATCCTTGTTCATTTATTTTTCTTTCTCCTCGATGGTGTTTTTTCTTGCGTCTTAGTAACGTTATTGCCTTCCTTCGCCATGAAATGATTAAAGTTTTCACTAAATACACAAATATAGAAAGGAGCATAAGACAAGAAAGTGTCTTCTCCTCGGATTAATTTAACATTTTTAGTGAAGGAACCTGGCAATTTCTACCAGTATTCATTGCCTTAACAACATTATCTTAACAACATTATCTTAATAACATCATCTTAACAACATAAACTTTAATATCATCTTAAAAATATCACCTTAACATTATCTTAACAACATTATCTTAATAACATCATCTTAACAACATAAACTTTAATATCATCTTAAAAATATCACCTTAACACTATCTTAACAACATTATCTTAATAACATCATCTTAACAACATAAACTTTAATATCATCTTAAAATATCACCTTAACATTATCTTAACAATATTATCTTAATAACATCATCTTAACAACATAAACTTTAATATCATCTTAAAAATATCACCTTAACATTATCTTAACAACATCATCTTAATAACGTTAACTTAACAACATGATCTTTCCAACATTATCTTACAACAACGTTACATATTCAGATGACAGAGTGTTGATAGCAGGTACAGAAAGAAAACTATAGGGACACCGATAGAAGGATGTTAAAGAAAGCTCGAAGTGAGGACTAAACATGGATTGTAAGCAAACAGAATGTATGCTTGTCAGCAAAAGGGACAGTTCAATATGTGAACATAAGCAATAGGAGATCTGGTAAGTATATAAAGAGAATGTGTAAAATATAATACAAAGGAGCATTGGGTTATCGATATTTGCTTTTCGAAAGCTAAGAAGAGTATAAAGAAACGGGGAATTATCATTAGAAACAACGACAATAGTACTGAACTGTTATGGAATATCGTCACTGTAAGCGGGACAATCTCATCTCATATGAAGAAGAGATTTAAGACAACAGATATGTCGCCCTCCAGAAGAATGTTGAGAATAACATGGACTGTACATGTGAGCAAGGAAGAAGTTTAGGTAAAATATAAATAAGATGTATTGAAGGAAAGGGGGAACAGTGGAAAACAGACGACAGAGCGGGGATTAAGAGAGATAGCTAAAAGGCAAATTTCACTAAAAGCTACAAAGACAGCAAACTGTCGAAGCTATGATTGTCAACATCTTGAAGAAACACGACGCATAGAAGAACAACAAGAACAAGAGGAAGAAGAAAACTTCATGTACAATGCGCCCCTTGAATCTTTTTTTTTTGTTGCAAAACATGAGTTTTTCATGTGTATAATGCGACAAAACCTTATCGTAGTCAAATATTGCAGTACTGGGCATGATCCTGGACATATTTTATAGCGAATAAATGGTCTTCATACTTTTTTACAAAAAGCTATTCCACGATAGTGAGGAAAATTTATTACGGTAAAATATCTCATACCAAGATTTAGATACCGTGATTGTATTTCGTTCATGGCCGACTAGAATTCGTCCTGGGTATGACGATAAACTACATCCGGTAGTAATGAATCTGATCGGAAGGTTTTGAAGTGCATGGGACCATCTCTTGCTTGCTGTTGTTCCCAGGTCCACCCTGACATGAAATGATAGGAATTGTTAGCCTCCCATCTATGGGAAAATAGATAACCCCCGAACTGGCTTCAAAACACTATGAAAATATAAAAACAGATTTTGTGGTAAAAAATACCAGCAATACATTTTGGGAAAAAAAAAAAAAACAGCAATACATTTGACTCTCGACAAAAACACTCATTACAAAAGTACGTCAATGAATCCTGATCTAAGAACACTTCGAACGTGTTGACTGATGGGAAAAAGTGAATATATCTTCGAAACCTGTCAAGAGGGCCTTTATTATTTAGTATCGGCGGTTGCCATATATCTTCACCGTTTAAGAAAATAACAAACAGGTATGCCGAAAAAACATCTAAAACTAATGTTTAGAGTATCAATATAAGAAGTGCGGCTATGAAGCTATCGACCTATCCAAGATTCTAAAATCTGTCCTACTACAAACATGGCGTAGTCGAAAGGAAATTCAATCAACGCCCCCATAACACGATGAAATCTCTAAAGTCCACCATAACCAACTACTTCCTCTATGTGCTGTGTCCATTCAGGACGCAGGTGTTTATGGTCCTCCACGTCTTTTATCCCTTGTAGCTCTTAATAATTTTTATCTTGTTTCTCGCAAACCCTGTTCCGTCATCCATGTGCTCAACCCCATCAAGTATGTTATACGCTGATTTCCTCTGTCCCTCTTTCCCTCAGTTTGCCCTGTGAGTATCAGATTTTCCAAGCCTTTCTTTCTCATTACGTACTTCCGAAATTCTAACTGCCTGTTCCTGATGTTAAATATAAGTTACTTTTTTGTTTCCATTTTCTTTAAAATTTCGTCGTTGCTCACATGTTTGTTGCATGGTATCCTCAACATCTTTCTGTAGACCACATGCCTGTTGCTTCAGGTCTCTTCCTCATCTTTGAAGAGATTGTCCAGTATTCGCTGCCATACAGGAGAACAGATATCATGTAACAGGTCAGTACTCTTCTTTTTTTGTTTCTAACGACATTTTTCTGTCGCTCTGCTTAGCTTTTAGAATATATATTTAGCCATCCCAGTACTTCTTCGGATCTCAGTGCCGCACTTTCTGTCCAACACAATATCAATAATTGATAAAGCTCATCTTATTTTGGCGTGTAAAATTTTCATAACTTGTATTGAAGCAGTCATCGAACAAGCGTTTTCTCTTTAGGTAGATGGTTTACGGTTCCTGTAACATCACCAAAATTAAGCAATGTCCAGCTTGGTCAATACCTAGATGGGTGACAGCTTGATAATACCAGGTCATGTAAGCTTTGATACACGTGTGGTATAATGTTTCTGACTTGTTAATCAGAGAGCCAAATTCCTATTCCAGTTCGGTTCTTGCTGTAGCGTCCTCCCTGTAATAAGGCTATGGTGGACTCTTCCATTTACTATAAAGTTACTAGGAAAAGTGGCCCTCAGGGGAAAACAGTGATATAGACTGATCACTGCTAATACCCTTGGGAAAGGTGTGAATCCTCTTCTTCTCCCTCCAGCTATGAGTAAATAGCAGAACAGACTGGGTTCTATAGCCTTGGATGGCAACTGGTCTAGGAGAGGGAAAACTCTGAATTCAAAACCTGCCGAGGGTCGTTTGGGGAGCTTGTGGCACGTAGTGCACCAGTATTCGGACCTTCAAAAAGTGTGGCTGGTCCTGCACGAAACCTTCACCACTATAATCAAATCTCATGTGCTATACATGCAGGTTGGGGACCGCTTGTGAATTCCAAATTCCCATGAAACTCCAATATTGGAGCCGGCTCAACCCACCCCGGGTGGATGCCGTTACGAGAACAAGAAGAAGAACTGGTCAACGAACACACTCCCAAGTCGTGGAAAACACTTCTCTTGTATTTATTGTTCAATAGACTATTTATCTGCAACCTCTTGTTCTGTAATTCTTCACCATTTACTTGGTCACAACAGTTTTTTATATTCATTTTCGTGCAAATACCATTTAGAATGATATTAATCCACCTCTTCTCCCCCATCTATGGGTTAATTCATAAGACTTGTATCACGAAATTATTTTTATCCCCTCCACACGAAAAAAAATCCTACAATCTAAACGTATTTTCTGGCTTTGAACAACTTGCAAAGAGTTGATAAGCCGTACAATACCGAAAGAATGAATCAAGCATTAAGCAGATACGCCAAGAAAAATTTCAAACTTATCCATGCCAAATCTTTTCTTGAACAAAAATGATTTACGCATCTTTTATTAAATTAATGCAAATGTCCTCAACGGACTTAACAACTCTGTTTGAAAGATTTCTTTTTTGTATTTTGACATAATTTGACAATTTTGGCATAATTTGACAATTTTGACATTTTTGACATGATTTTGACTTTTTTTTTGTATTATGACATAATTCGATCAAAAATAAAAATAAACGACTCACCTGTATTTTTCATGAGTTTCTTTATATTATTCTGCAGATAAGTCTCTCTCGACATATCATATTGTGTCTCAATGACAAGAAATATATATTCGTCCAGCATCATTCTTATCAGATGGAAGGAACCTGCAAATGCCAGAAGCAATCTCTCATTATAAATGAAACTTCACACATCGTTTGTTTTATTAATATAAAGCATTGCACATGATTTTACGATAGATATAAACCTGCGTCTGGAACATTATACATTTGTCACTGTACTACTTACAATATTGATATATCCTCTGTCGAGGTACCACCTATAACACTGATTTCTTCTTGTTCACGGTATCACCTATAACAGTGCTTTGTCCTCGATCCCATTACCATCTATAACACTGCGCCGTCCTCGGTCACGGTAACATCAATAACACTGCCCTATACTCAGTCGCGGTAACCACCGACAAAACCGATCTATCCTCGGTCACGGTACCACCTATAACGCTGCTCTATCCTCGCTCACGGTAGCATCTGTAAATCTGCTCTATTCTCGACCGAGGTAACCACCTGTAACCATTTTTAGCACTCCTCTGTCCTCAGTCGCGGTAACCATCTGTAACACTGTCCTATCGTCGGTTGCGGTAATCATTTATAACACTGCTTTATCTTCGACCACGGTAACCACCTATAACACTGCTCTATCCTCGCTCGCGGTAACCACCTATAGCACTGATTTCACCTTGGTCATGGTAACCATTTGTAACACTGATCAATTTCGGTTGCGGTAACCATCCATAATCCTGCTACCTGAGCGCCATCCTTGTCACGACAGCCTATTATAATACTCGCTCTCGGTTTCATCAACTTGTTTCTGACGGTACCACTTTACAACACCTCTACATCTTTGCTCACAGTCGCTAATGTCTTATGACTTCTGATCGTTGCTCCCTGGGTGGTTGAGTCACTACTTCTTCGTTCCAACTGATAGTCGATGCGCAAATGTTCCATCGATCCTCTCCAATCTACGTTATGTTTTAAGATCCTGTAAAAGATGTATCCGACAAAGTTCGAGAAATCTCTGGAACGAGATGATGTTGACTAGTCGGATTACAGCAGTATAACAAATAGTTTATTCCTAGAAGTCAACACTGTTCTTATATACAATAAAAAAAGATGGCTTAATTTGATGGCAACAATAGTCATTACAGTTGATGCTATGATCGTAAACATTAGCTAAACTACATATAACCACTGGTTTAGATACATTTTCTGGACTTCTGGACTTCTTTTAACGACTATTCTTGACTTTTCCTTGCGACTTTTATTTTTCTGGCAGCTCTTTCGACGGCTAGCTACGACCCTTCAACTGGCTTTAAAACTCTCCAATTGCATTCTCCAACAGGTTTAAAAATCTCTCTTGGCGACTGCTGCATACCTGAATAAAAAGACATTTCTGCCAAATTCTATCCCCGCCATATTTTAGCTCGATTGCTTCATTCAGAGCACGTGACCAATCGAAGGCAGTCTTCGTCGGATCAAGCTTTATCCCGACGGATCAATTCCGACTACGTAAACGTTTGGAGACGGTTTTCCTCTTCCCACGCTCATTTGGGGATTCCCCAGTTTCCTGCACACCCGCATTTACCATGTCTCGTTGAAGTGATGTCTGTTTTAACGCTTTTCACCTCTTGAACTTGTCATCCGTTAGTCAAAATACCCTTTGTTCTAAATCATGGTTATTGTTTCGAATCACTGCTATGAAAGAAATTCGTGGGAATTGATATTTTCGTTTTAACCCTTTCAAATAAATTAGCATAATTTTATCGTCTCCCAAAATACGCAACACTCTCAGTTCTAGATTATTTCCGGTCTTATATTTTTTTAAATATTTTTAAAATAATATTAGAAGAGAATGAATTAGAAATAATTTTACTACATAAATGCATAACTTTATGATAGAAACTAATTACAAAGTATTTGATGATAAAAATTACATTGCAAATAACTGTAGAACAGTATGTAGAACAGAATGTATTGTAAATAATTTTCCCATAGAAATGCATTATAAATAATTTGCCCATGCGTTCCCTATGCAATGACAAAACACTTTAGGATTTTACTACATTACAATTATGTATGTATAGCAGGCCACTCGTATTCGAGGACTACTAGTGTGGCTAGTCAATCCCTATTGCAGACGCTGGCTCAGGTGCATTTGTATTTATTCAACACCTACAGATTCCACCTGTGATTTATACTTCAAGTATATTGATCAGACCTTAGTCACAGTTTCTGGGAAAGAGCATATTATCTAGCGTGGTCAACAATTTGTTCAAATTGCACGCTGAAGCCCTCGGCCACGATGGCTTGTTACTTCGTGCTAGCACAGGTATCGACGGCCCCCAACAAATCTGAGCATGGTGAGATTCAAACCCGAGCCTCATGGTCAGAATACGAACGTTCTAAACACTCGGCCACGTGCCCACAAGTAATTTCACGGTAAACATGCATTAAAAATAATTTCCAGGCAGAAATTGATTACTAATAATGAAGGGATAGAAATGCATCACAAATAATTTTTCCTATACGAATAATTTACTATAAAGAATGCATTGCAGATAACTTTGCAATAGAAATGCATTACAAATAATAAACAAATAATTTTTTATCATAGAGATGGATTGCAAATAATGTTACAATAGAATTGTTTACAAATAAGTTTTTAATAGAAATGCATTAAAAATAATTTCATGATAGAAATAGACTACAAATAATTCACATATAGGAAAGCCTCACAAATGTTTTGCTATAAAAAATGCATTGCAAATAATATTACTATAGGAATGCATTGCAAATAATTTTGTTATGGATGCACTGTAAATAATTTTGTTAAAGAAATGTGTTACAAATAATTTTGATAGAGTAATGCATTGCAAATAATTTTTCTATAGAAATGTTTTGCAAAAAAAACTTGCAATAGAAATATCATTACAAATAATTTTGCAACTATCTTTGTAACATAAGTAGGTCATAATTCATTTTTCTTTAGGAATAACTTACACATAATTTTTCTATTGGAATTCAATCCCGATATTTTTACTATAGGAATGCATTGCAAGTAATATTACAATAGAATTGCATTACAAATAATTTTGTTATAGATATGCATTGCAAATAATTTTCTATAGAAATGCACTGGAAATAATTTTGCTATAGAATTGCATTGGAAATAATTTCCCAATAAAAATGCATTTCCCGATAAAAATCCATTATAAACAGGTAATTGCATTGCAAAAAAAAACAAAAAAACAAAACAAAAAAAAAACAGAAAATAGCATAGTAAGTGCATTTTAAGGAATTCCACAATAGTAATGAATTGCTAACAATGAAATAATTATTGTCAGTGGATAGGAAATAAAGCAACCATTATGTACCGGATAGATACATATGTAAAACAGTAATGTAAATAAAATTAAAGTCACAAGGACATCACTCTAACAGGATAAGCACTCACCAAAACTGACACAATTCTGCAAAGTAAGATCCTTGGTTATGAGGGAGACAATGGCTGCCCAATGAAGAAGAAAATCGGCCGAGCATTTGTCGAAATTGCGACCACTTTTAGCACTTGGCTGGAAATTGAAATAAATAAATAAATAAACAAAAAAAAAAGATAAAAAAAAACAGACATTAGCCGATGAAGCGTAAACATGGTTTCATCTTTATTTCTTTTTCAACTTCAGATATGAAGTCGGTTTATTAGAATATCATTTCCTTCGTCTTTTTTGTCCCTTGTAGGTATTAATAATTTTAATCTTTTTCTTATTTCTCCCAAACCCTGTTCCACCATCCAGTACGTTACACGCTGCTTTTCTCTGTTACTCTGTCACTCAATCTGCCCCATGAGTATCAGAATTTCCAAGCTCTCCTTCATCATTACGTGCCCCACACATTTCAGTTGCCCCCCCCTACTGATGTTAAGTATAAGCTTCCTTTTTTTGTTCCCCTTTTCTCCCAAACATTGTTGCTCGCATGTTCGGTCCATGGTATCCTCAGCATCTTTCTGTAGAACCGTTCAAAGCGGACAGGTCTCAAGTACTTCCTGAATTAGGACAGGGACTGAAAAAATATGTTTGGATAATTTAAAATTTCGTATTTCTGAATACCTAAATTATTGAAAAAGAATGAAGAAGAAAGCCATTTTCTGGAATAAATTTAATATTCCTTTTATTGAAATACTACTAAGTGGAAATCTTCTGCCTAGTACGTCATGAATGCGAAGAGACATGATCGCTGAAGCGTGTATCACGTATGACACTTAAATGACTGATTGACTAGATTGTCTGCGAGGTCACATCATTTTACAGTGGAATCAAATATCATTAATAACACCATCGTATATGAGAACTTAAGACAATACAGAATATGATTATTTTTTTATAAATTCTTTATGAACAATCTTTAGTGACGTATTCTTTGGCCTTACTTTCATGTTTAGATCACATTTCATTTTTTCTTAATCCGGACAGAATGAATCGCCTGAATGATTTAGAAGCAAGAACATTGCGCTTCTATTACAGGATCATTAATACGACTGGCTTTTCTATAAATATTTACATGGTAACTGTAATGATGATCTTTCTTCTATAGTACCTAGACCTTATTTATTTAAGCACAGCGCTATATTGGCGAGATGTTCTGTGGGGTGTAATGGATAACAGCTAGGAATGAGAAATCAGTGAACCGAGTACGTTACATTCACTCATCCGCAAGTAACGTTGAGAAAGGGTATGAATCCATCCTTTCTCCTCCCAGCTATGGATTAAATAGTAGGGCAGACTAGACTCTCTTACATTGCGGTATCAACCAATATAGGAGAAGGAAAACTCTGAATTCTGAAGATGGATGAACTCCATCAGGTCATCATTCCTACACTTGCTACAGCTGCTATGGCAGCAGTACGCGTTGTGCCCCTTCGATCTTAATCGTTACGTGACACGTGATGATAGTTATATAAATTACATTAAATTATTTATTTAGAATACAGCAATGATTTCGGCTCATGTTTGCAAGTATTTACTTTTATATGTTCAATGGAAGTTTGACATTTTAAAAAAGAATAGGTACTTATGATCTTGATCCGAAATTAGTTTTTATTTGTTTAAAATAGTTTTGGGTGTATTCAGGCAGAGTGACGAATAATGGCTCGGAATAAGAAATCAGAGAATCGGATTCTTTATATTCATTTACGGGCTAATACCTTTAAGAAAGGTAGGAATCCATCTCTTCTCCTCACAGCTATGGGTTAAATAGCAGGACAGACTGGATCCTATATCCTTGGTTGGCAACCAGTCTACAGCAGAAAGAAACGGCAGCGTAGCACGGGAAAATCTTCTGCCTCGTCAGGCCTGAACTGAAAGACACATGATCGTCTAAGTATCGATCACGAATATCACTTTACTGATTGACTGATAATCAAATAGCATTTTCAAACACTTTGTAGAAGATTTTGTCTAATCTATATTTTATGAAATGAAATGTGGTAACTATTCTGCTTTC